CACGACGCGACGAAGGGAACGAGAGAGAGGAAGATTGGCATTGAGGGACGGAGGGGGATCGGGGAAGAAGGAAAACGCGGGAAAAGAGAAGGACACGGGAGAACCTCGAGCGCGAACGCGAACGCGAACGCGAGCAACGACGGCGTCGACGACGGCGGCAACGGCAACGGCAACGGCAACGGCAGCGGCAGCAGCAGCAGCAGCAGCGGTAACGGTGACGGCGGCGGTGGTGGCGGCGGCGGCGGCGGTGGTAGCAGCAGCGGCAGCAGCGGTGGCGGCAGTGGCGACCACCACCACCGGCATCGGTGCGGCGTGACCTCCTCTCGTCGTCATCGGTGGATCGGAGTTTCGGGAGGCCGATCGGCGGTGGGCCTCCTCTCCGATCTGCCGCGGGAGAATTTCTCTTCTTCTCGACGAGAGAAGCGAGAGGCCGATCGCGCGAGGGAGAAAGAAGGAGAGGCGGTATGAGGCGGTCTCCGGGGGCGGTGCCTGTCGGCGCGTCCGATCGGAAGGTGAGCCTCCCGATTGGCCGATGCGACGGCGGTGCGAGGGGAACGCGAGGACGCGCGAGCTACGTTGCTTCCTCCACCCGCACCCGTTCTCTTCGCGGTCTCCGCGTTCTCGCTCGCACCGTGTTTCCCTCTCGGTCGCGCGAACCACCTTTCCTTCTTCGTCGCTCGCGGGCCGCTCCACTCGATGGTTCTTTGTTTCGCCGGTGGTCGTCCCTGTCGCTCCGGCGAGCCGCCTTGGCCGTTCTCTTTCGCCGCTCCTTTCTCTCTCTTGCACCCACGCGCCACTCTCTCCCCGCGGCCGCCGCGCGTCTCGCGTCTCTCGTCCATCGTCTCTCGCCCCTCGAGTCGGCGCTGGCACCGCTGCAAACACACGGTATCGGCGCTTGGCCGCCTCACGGACCTCTCTCTACAGCCGTTCGAGCGAACCGTCGCCGCGGCGAGCCTCTCAGTTGCGACGCGCTCGTCACGGGGTGCAGATCGTGCGCGCTTCGTCGTGTCGCCCTATCGGTCTCCGCAACGCGCGCGGCCGCACATAATCGCGCGCACGTTTTTCCCTCCCCGTTCCGACACGGAGAAAGATAGATAGATAGATAGATAGATAGAGGGAGAAAGAGAGAGAGAGAGAGAGAGAGAGAGAGAGAGAGAGAGAGAGAGATTACAGCGAACTCTCTCTTCGGTGCTTCGTTACCTCGTTCCACGCGCGACGACTGTCAGTGCATACTCTGGTGTATTCTCGTGTCTTTCGACGGTGATTCTCCGTAGTACGAAGAACCGGTGCTCTCCCGAACTTGGACCATTCGCAAAACGCGCACGTTTCGTTCGCGCGTTTTATACAGCCGCAAACCACATCGACCTGTCACACGAATTAGGTGAGTTTCCGGCTGATCCGACACGAGGACTGCTGCTGCCGATCGTCGAAAGGGGAGCAAAGAGGAATCGTCATCGTGATCTAGAGAAATCGCGACAAAGGGAGTGTGAGAGAGAGAGAGAGAGAGAGCGAGAGAGAGAGAGAGAGGGACTAGGGTTGGGTGGCGCGCGCGGGAACGCACGCTCACCCCTTTTTCGAAAGTCGCGCGCGAGCGCGCGCGCGCGCTGGCGCACGCCAGCCGGTTGGTCGGTTCCGAGTCGAGTCGAGTCGACGCGACGCGACGCGTAGATCCTCGGTCGATCGCGGCGAGACATCCTCGAGGACTATGCGTTCGGTGAATCGTGTGTACCGACGTCCCGTTAACCAGTAAACTTGTCGAGGAATATCGCGAACGTGAAACGAAAGGAAGGTGGCAAAGAGAGAAACGGAGAGGGTGAGAGGACGAGGGAAAGTGGAGAAGACGAAGAAACGATCCTCGGGGAAAAAAGGCAATGTTCGGTCACGAGATCCTCGGGAGAAAGATTCCCGAGGTCGCGCACGTTGACGGATAGACGCGCGTTCCCACGAGAGAAGGAGACGCGTGGTTCGCGCGTATTTTCGCGCGTGGCTGTGTACGTGTGTGTTCCAGATGCGGTCTAGCTGTTGACACGTTCGCGACCGATCGGTAGAGATAGAGAGAGGGAGAGAGAGATAGAGAGATAGAGAGAGAGAGAGGGAGAGAGAGAGCGAGAGAGAGAATTTAGTCGATCGAAAAACGGAGGGAAGAGAGGAATCGGCAGAGGCCGCGAAAGGCGTAGAGGAACGCGCCCAAAGGCCGAAGGAGGAGGCGGAGGAGGAGGCGGAAGAGGAAGAAGAGGAAGCGGAAGAGGAAAAGGAAGAAGAGGAAGAAGAGGAAGAAGAGGAAGAAGAGGAAGAAGAGGAGGAGGAGGAGGAGGTGGAGGAGGTGGAGGAGGTGGCGAAGGAGGAAGAAGCGACAGAGGCGACGAAGGAAAGAGAGGTGGAGGAGAACGCGTGCAAGGGTAAGAACGAAGAGGAGGGGGCGGAGGTGGAGGAGGGGGAGGAGGAGGACGAGGACGACGAAGCGGAGGACGAGGAGGAAAAGGAGAGAAACGGAAACGAAAGAGGAAACGATCGAGACGCGTCGAAATCCTTGGAAAACATGACGCAGCAAAGCGGGGCTGGGTCGCCCCAGCAGTTTTGTCTGAGGTGGAACAATTATCAAACGAATCTGACGAACGTGTTCGATCAGCTGCTGCAGAGCGAGAGCTTCGTGGACGTGACCCTAGCCTGCGACGGGCACAGCGTGAAAGCTCACAAGATGGTATTGTCGGCGTGCAGCCCGTACTTTCAGGCGCTCTTCTTCGATAATCCCTGTCAACATCCGATCGTGATCATGAAGGACATCAAGTGGCCCGAGCTGAAGGCGGCCGTAGAGTTTATGTACAAGGGAGAGATAAATGTGTCGCAGGAACAAATCGGACCGTTGCTAAAGGTCGCGGAGAGCCTGAAAATTCGAGGGCTGGCGGACGTAAACAGCGAGCAAGAGCTGACCTCCAGATCGAGCCTAGAGGAGGCAGCGAACGCGGCGATGCACAGGAAGAAGCGTCGTCGAATATCGGGCGAGAGATCGCCGCCGGCGTGTAGTCCGGATCGGATCGCCTCCGGAAGCATCCCCGACGATCAAGACCCGAGCCAAGGCGGAGGAGGCGTGATCGTACCCGACATTCACAGCATGCTGCCCAGCAGCTCGACTCCGCGATCCCTCGGATCCCCCGGCACGCCCAACGTCTCCGTCACGCCGCAGATCAACCTTCAGGAACTTCCGGTATCGCTGCCGCTGCCGCCACCGCCACCGCCGCCCCCTCAGGGCCAGCAGAGCTCGCACTCGATATCCGCTCACCACGTGCCTGGCCACGTGACTTCCGGTCCCCACGCCTCCGTCAACCACCTGACCGCTCACGGCCAGCAGCTCACCGTGCAGCAGCAACAGCAGCAACAGCAACAGCAGCAGCAGCAGCAACAGCAGCAACACCTTCAGTCGGGTGCCGGCGGTCAACCAGGTGCTCCCGGTGACGATCTGGAGATCAAGCCAGGCATCGCCGAGATGATTCGCGAGGAGGAAAGGGTGAGTCGCGACGATTTTTTCTCTCTATCATCTTTTCACCTTTTCCCACACCGTTTCTTGGTCGAGCATGGTCGAAATCGACCAACGAACGCTTCGAAAAACGTTGGTCCGCGCAAACGACCGCGTCGGTCTATCGAACTAACGTAAACATCGCGGCCAGAAAAACCCTCGCGCGTCAACAAGAACGGCGCGCACGGTCGCGCGTATACACAGCGGGCGCGAAAATTTCGTCGTCCACAGGGGGAGACGCGTTCTCGAAACACAGGCAAAACAGAGGACGCGAAGAAAAATGACGCGACACGACGACGAAGCGTTTTCGAGGATAGGGGGAGAGCCGTTAATTAGGTATCGCGGCGATCGCGGAGAAACGTCGCGAGAGAAAGGACAAACGAGAACGAACAAAGTCGTCGGGGGGCGGGTGGGAGGGAGGGGGGAAGGCGACGCCGCGTTTATAATTGGCGGCGGATGCGGCGGTCGGTTTCGGGAAAAGTAAAGCTCTGTCGGCGGGAGGCGAGAAAATCGTAGGTTAGGGTCGCCGAAACTCCCAATTACCACTGGCCGAATGTTTTTACCGGAAACGTCTCGTCTAACGGGAAGACCGGGCCTTTGCCGGAGAGGTCCAATTACCCGGCGATCGGCTTCGACGGTGTGCACTAATTGAGAGTATCAATGAACGTCAATGAGCATAGTCAATATTTGGACGCGGAGCATTCGACCGTTTTGTAACGTTCTTTTTGTTAAAACGAATGACAAATATTGACTACGCGCTCGTTCGCGCATACGTGACACACACCGGGTATCGACTGTTCTCGTTAATTACATCGGGACGACGGTGTCTCCTGCATTATTTATCGTTCGCCACCGGCGCAAGTTATTAAACGAACAGCTAGTCACCGCGCTTCGTTTCGCCACTCGTCCGTCTCTACCCTTCGTCACGGTCGAAACCTCGTTGCAGCCGGCGATCCGTGGGTCGTCCGATCTCGCACGACCGTTTTTTCCACCAACCACGACGACGACGACGACGACGACGACGACAATGACCACTCGATTCGCTGCCCTGTACGCGCCGCGTACGCGATTTCGCGGCCACGACGTTCGCCAATCGCGCCGATCCGCCGTCCTTTCACGCGCCTTCGATCTCGCGGCCACCTTCGCGAAAACGCTTAAAGTCCACCAGTCGGTGGTACGTAATCTCGCGACCAGGAGGAAAGACACGCGAAGCGAGAATCGCGGATAAAGATCGACGATTCGCCGAGAAAGTAAAGGGAGTGCGAGAGAGACGGATGGACGGTGTGCGAAGAGAAAAATCGGTAAATATCGAGAGGGATCCGTGGTTTGCCGAGCAAAGCGGAAAATTGAAGCGAGTCGGTTATCGGAGGCCGAGCATTATTTTTCTATCGTGGGTATATATCGGTGTGGTGACGCAATCGGCTATGTATAATGGGTATAACATTCCGCGGAATTCCATTATGTTAACGCAACCACGTTCCAATTCTCCGGGCATGCCTGCTCGTATCGTAATACGTTAGTAGGTATATCGCAACTATTCCGCGATACCGGCGCGAAGCCTCTCCGATTAAAATGCCTAATTGATGCGGGTAGACCTAATAGGAGATGCGTTTCGATGGGGCGCGTTTCGAGTGAAACGCAGTACCGATTCTCTGCGCGAAAATCCGTCCAAGGGGGTCGTGATCGTCGTCGCCGTGGTCGTGGACGGTCGAGCCTGGAAAATTACGCGCTATAAAAGTAACACCACCGCGCTACCTTCTTCCTTCTTCCTTCTTCCTCCTTCTTTGGCTTTTGCGTCTAGGAACGCGTGCCCGTGTATACGTCTGGCGCGCGCGCTCGCATTCGAGTATATAACGTCGTGAAAAATACTCCCCGGCGAGAAGCGCGCCACTCAAGGATGGATTATTAAAGATTTAGCCGCCGCAAAGGATCGTTTCCACCGCTCCAGCTGGATTTCCTTCGGATTAAGAGCTTTAACGAAACGGAATTTAAATATAAATTGTCCTTTAACTCCCCGATCGCTCGGAAATTCGCTCGGAAATTCGCTCGCGACCGCCATCGCGATACGACGGCCAGAGTGGGCGCGCGCGCGCGCGCGTACGCGATCGCGACAAAAGGGACACGCGCGCGCGTGCCGCGAAAGCGCGCGTATCTACGCGATGGCGAATACGGTAGGAGGAGGAAAGCGGGAAAGCGAGAAAGCGGGAAAGCGCGATCGCGCGCCGTTCGCGGTCGGTGAAGCCTGAAAAGGCGGCATGAAAAAAATTTAATCTTCCCTCGCATTATCCTTTTTGGCAATAACGGCTTTGATTTCCGCATCGATGCCGTTTGTCCTCTGTGGCGTGTATACACACGGGAGGAGAGCGGACCGATTCCTGTCGCGAGCAGAGAGACGCACGGACAGACGGATAGACGAAGAGAGTGAGAGAGGGGGGTGGAGGGAGTGGGCGAGAGGTGGGAAAAAAGTCGCAGAACGGTAAATCGTGAATCGTAGTAACCGGGCGAGCAGCGCCATTCATCCTGATACGCAACGGATGCGACTACATATTTCCTTCGTTCCGTTTAAATTAGTGTTTTTGCCGTACGGTCTTGATTGTGTTTTCGCGGCCGTCCCGCGCGCTGGGACACACGTCTACCTTCCCGGCGAACGTCGCCTACGCGTGTGCCTGTACGCACGCGTATCGATTCCGCGTTGATGAACGCGTAACGGGCTAGCTAAGCGATATATCAGGAGCGTCATTTCGACGGGCAGAGTTGCGCGCGATACGAGTCGCGGCAAAATTGAAAAGTTTGATGTATTAAAATGCGTGACGCCGACGACCCCTTCTTCTCGAAACGCGGAGAAAAAAGAGCCGGTGGTGCACACGCGCGCTTATCCACCGTCTGCGCTCTCTCCTCGCCTACTCGATTACGCCACCCGTCAAAAAGTGATCGAGAGTTCTCGTCTATCGGGGCTTCGATCTTAAGTCGCCCTCTCTCGTTCGCGACGCCCACGCTCCCCCTTTTCCCTGTGCCCAATTCCGAAGCCGATTGCCAACACGCGTCGCGTCGCGTCGCGCGTAACCGCTTGGTAACTCGCGTTATAGACGCTATTTCTTTTTACGGCATCCTCTACTTTTTTTTCTTTTTTCTCCTTTTATCTGCGCGCAGCCCGGTTGGTCAGTTGGCCGCACGCGATCCCGCGCGAAATTCTCGGACGATACGCAAAGGCGACGGTCGGCCGTGTTACGTGGACTCGCGCGCGCGCACGCGTAGCTTCCGGCGATACCAGGTAGAGTTAGTTTTTGCGGCTTTCGGAGCGGCAAGGACGGAGCCGGAAGAAATTGGTAGGTACCCGGTGCGCGACCAACGGTTATAATTTCGTCGTGCGATCTCGACGGTAGGAAGGAGCGCAAGGAGCGTACGGTGGAAGGAGGAAGGAGGAGGCCGAAGGGACACCGAGGACTCGAAACTCGAGTCGAAATCGACGGAGTCGTGAAGGGCTCGCGGTGTGGCGGCGGCGGCGGCCGACTGCGATGCTCGCCGTGTCTTACACGTAGCCGCCATTCGTAGAGACTGTTTTATAATAAGGGACGGCTTAGCGAGCATAATGGTATGTGTTTTAAATATTTCAAAAATTGCCTTCCTAGGAAACTCTCGGTATAATGGCAATACTTGGAATGTAATCCCAGGGTATAACCGGACCGCATAGGCGCCCGGCCGCTTAACTCTGCCTCTCCGTTTCTTTCCCATTGCTCTTTTCTTCTCCTCTCTTTCCTCTCCCTCTCGGTTAATCGCTTTTCCGTTTCCTCTCCTTTCCCTGTTTCGCCACACCGTCGTCGTTCCCCCCTTTCGCGAATTTCTTCCAAAGTATCGCGCAACCGCGTCTCTCGATTGACCACCGAGAGCCGGTGATAAAGAGAGGAAAGAGTCGGGGAAAGAATCGCGGTTGGATGTTTCGACGAGGCAAGATAAGAGGGCAGCGGTCGTTGTTAAAAAATGTAAACGCGTCCAGTGGCTAGGTCCGCAAAACGGTCGTGAAAGATTCAGCCGAACGACGGTGCAAAACGACGTTTGTTCGCGATTCTCGACCGCAAACTTTCGCTGGAAATTCCCGCGAGGAGCTTCGCGTAATAATGTAACGAGCCGAGGCGCACGGTCGGTGAAACGGAAGAAGCAGAGACGCGCGAACGACCGCCCTTTATCCCATCGCGATTTTGCGATAGGAAAACGGCCGAGGAAACGGTCCGCGTTTCCTCGCGCGATTAATTTTTCAACACCCCGCCGGTACGTAGCGAACGGGCCGGCTAGCCCGGCGTCTCTCACCACGCTCGTCCCACAGTCGTCCCACAGTGTCGTCCCACGGTGTCTCGTCGGACCCGCGTAGAAATCTGGCGCGATCTTCGCAGCCGCGAGTCTATCCGATTCGTGGAAAAATCGGGAAAAGCAACGGTCGAGGACGTTGCGTTGGCTTTGGCTGACGGCGATAAACGATCAGGTAGAGGTACAGGTAGAGGCGCAGGTAGAGGCGCAGGTACCGAGTGCAGGGCGGTGGAGGAGGGTCTAGGGCAATGACGAAGGGGCACGGAAGAGGGTGGAAAGGGCGAGGAGGGTAGGAACGAACGTTTCCATTTTGAAAATGCGACGCGGGATGGATCCGGGCGCGCCGTGTACGGCGGGCGACAGCTCCCACGAAGCCGCGGTAAATCAGAAATTATCTTGCGTCGCGTCCGAGTTGCGCGCTGCCTTTTCCCATCGAAACGCGCATAAATACACGGAACGGGCTGGAGCGGTAGAGAGCGAGCGCGAGGTGGAGGAGGTGGAGGAGGTGGAGGAGAAGGAAGGAGAAGAGAAGAGACGAAGCGGGAGCGTCGCGTCCCGCGCATCGTGCATCGTGCATCGCGGTTCGTGCATCGCGCATCGGGCATCGCGGCTGGCGTACGGCGCGATGCACACACCGCGCGCCACGCACCGTACACCATACACCGTACACCGTACATCGTGCACCGTGC